AGACTAAACAGTGTCAGAGTGGCAGTTTCAGAGATTTAAGGTTTTGCAGAAACTCATAGCAGCACCTCGTAATCAGAACACTGACCAGCAGGGGCAGATCAGGCCCTAAAACCTGGTCAAATACGGTCTGGACTCAGCCTTAGTCCTGACAGCTTTGTACATGCTGTATTTAGCCGTTCATGTCTTGTGTTTCTGGATGCCAGATCCACAGATTTATGCTCCTTTTTTTTTTAGCTAATTTCCTCATGTGTTTTTCTCTGTTGTGGAGACGTGAGGATGAGGTCACGGCAGAGGAAGTGAGACTCTCTAAAAGCAGCCTCGGTCACAACAAAACCACGCCTCAGCTATTTTCATTCTCCTTCACATGGAGGCGCTTTTGTCACTGCTGCTCCAAAATCCCTGTCTTCCCTTCAAACCGGGTCCGGCTGTTTTAGAAACCATGAGCCTCTGGATCAGAGAGGAAGAAGTAAATGTGACTAACAGCTAATCCGTGTGTGAGTCACGGTCAGCTGGGCCTGATGTCTCTGTGACTGGGCGACCTGGGAGGTTTACTGAGGGGAAACGTCCTGTCACCTCCTCCGATGGTCGCTCTGACTTCCATGACCTTCTGGACCGTCGTGAACTTGGTTTCACTTCATTCACCAACAGGAAATGGGTGAATGAATAAGAATGAGCTCATGTTTAGCTAATGCTCACTGATGTGTTTTGTTGACGTTTTGGAATTCTTTTCTGTCTGTGTATTCCAGGAATAATTTTTATTAAAGTAGTAATATTATACTAGATGTAAAAACAAACCAACAGTTCTCCTGTACCTTTAATAACGGTTTGTGCAGCTGGAACAGTGTCATATTTAGACTGTATTTTGTATTTTGACTCAAACAGAAGCCGTTCTGTGTGTGTGTTTTGCGTCTGCAGCTCTCAGGAATGTTCTTCCTCTGGCGTTCCCTGGAGTGCGGATGCTTGTTGTTAGCATTTCCTTACGGTGTAGCGGGTGAAGGAGGGTTCTGTTTCAGGCACCTGTGATCCTCAGGACTCTAGGTGTCTCGGCTACGAGGGGTTGACGGTGTCCTCCTGGTCCAAGGTCCGGAAAAATGAGGACGGTCGGAACAGGAAGAGCATCCGGAGTAAAAATCTGTGCGGAGTCATATGTGGGACTGAACACACACCACAGAGATGTGACTGTCTGTCCTGATGAACACACACACACACACACACACACACACACACACACTGGCTGTGAAAACACGTGCGAGGGGAACGTGGATGCCAGGGATTCCTGAGGTTGGCCTGACCCAGATCCAACATGTCCCACTCACCACAGTACACACACACACACACACACACACACGTAACTTCAAACAATAGCATGACCTGCTTCACATGAGCCCCTGCAGCAGGGCAGTAATGGGGGCTCTTTTTTTTTTTTTTGCCCCATCAAAATGTGTCTCATCAGTTCTGGATTTTTTTTGTCCTTATTTGAACACATTCTGTCATTATTTTTTATTTATTTCTGCTAACTTTTGATAGAATCTTTGGCATCTTGTTTTTGTTTTTTCCATGGCTAACCTTTAGCCTTGCTAACTCTTTGTCATTTTTTTTTTTATTTCTGCTAACTTTTGATAGCATCTTTGGCATTTTGTTTTTGTTTTTTCCGTGGCTAACCTTTAGCCTTGCTAACTCTTGATAGCATGCTGGTTTATTTTGATATTATTAGCTTGGTTTTTGGCTAATTTTAACCTATTTTCTTGGCCTGATTGTGTTCTGATGATTCTAATATTTTCAGATTCTAAACAGGGAACTCTTGGAAATGCAGTTTTTAAATTACTGTGTGATGATTTTAAAATAAGTAGCCATCATCCATCCGACCATGGTTGGTGATTTCTTTTTTTTTCAGCTGTGATTGAACTTTAATGACCGCGTCTTCAGCTCGGCTCGTCTCCACCTCTCATGTCAGAAGCTCTGCCCAGTTTTAGTCTTTTTTCAGCCAAAAAAAACCCTTCATTTCCAGACGGATCTGTATCTGAGCAGCCGGCGTGACCCTGGTACAAACACAACAAACTTCTGAGACGTTGCCCTGCCTGTGTGTGTTTGTGTGTGTTTGTGGTGAAGCTGCGTTCCCTCAGGTGCCTCGACAGAAGCCAAGCCCCTTTTATGGCCCACATTCCCAGCGTGGTGCTGATGGCTATTTATAACCCCCCAGAGTCTGTGACAGTGGCACAGGAACCTGAGAGGGCCGTGGACACGGCTAATGCTAAACGCTAAGGGAAAGTGATAGGGAGGTGGGAGAGTACGGCTGGATGTTGTGTTGTTGTGTTAACTGGAGCCGTCACACGGATCAGCTGTGATGAGCGGCACTTAGGAAACCTGAGGCTGAGAGTGTTTTTGTAGAATTAGGTTGTGTGAATTTTGTGGTTTTGATGAAGAAAGGAGGATGAGCTTTTAGCATTAGCATTGACAACTAAAGCATTTCACAGGACAAAGTAAAAATGATACAACAATGAGTGACGTAATTTAAACTCACAAAAATGTTGTTCAACCACAGTTGCCCATTTTCAAAATAAATGTGCAATATTTTGCACTAATAGAAAATGTCTTTGTGACCTGGTCATAAAAGGGTGTCATCTGCAAAGAGGTCGTCTTCTCCTGCTTTAGAGACTGGGGCCACAGACCACCCATGATTCTGACGTTTCACTCGCCGTCACCGTAACGCTCTGGTGAATCAGCTCCGTCACCCTCTGTAATCTTCTCCAGCGTGGAGGAACACTGAAATCCTCTTCTTTTTTTTCTCCCAAATCCAAATCCTTTTTCCCAACATCCAGCTCAGCAGTCGTGTCGTTCTGCCTGAACATGATCGTGTATCGTTTTTATCTGCTTGGCTTCTTATCCAAACACACACACACACACACACACGGGGCCCTAATTCACATCCTATTATCTCTCCATTAGTGTGGTGTAGTGTTGCTGCTGCTGCTGCTGCTGCTGCTGCTGCTGCTGCTGGACCTCACTGTGGTCAAGTTCAGTTGGAGGAGCCCAGGGTTAATCTGTGATTTGTGTGGTTCTGTGAGCGTTTGGACTGGTCTGAGGAGAACGTCACGCTCCGTCTGCCCAGTGTTGATCTGGGCGAGCTACAGCCTGAGGTTTCTCTCTCTCTCTCTCTCTCTCTCTTCTTATCAGATGTGTTTTATCACAGACTGATCATCATGTAACAGTCTCTGCATTCACACAAAACAAAGAAAAATACAAAAACAACAAACTAAAAACTCAGGGATAGTCATCTGAAAATCAGACGGAGCGTTCAGATTATCCAGATTATTCGTGACCTGTCAGAGCAGTGACAGGTCACAGCAGGACGGTGAAGACACGCTGTCATCAAGAACCGGAATTTGTAACTGGGGGGAATATTTTTCCATGGTTACCTGCAGTGGCCGGGGTCTGAGTGACCACCACGGTGATTAAAATCACAGACTTATTCTCAAAGAGCATTTTGGTTTGTGTTGCCAAATCAGATCAGTGTGGAAAGATTTGTTTTAGTTCTAGTTGGTTAGAGCTGGTTAGGGTTCAGCCATAGTTTTATTAGAATATATTTCACAAACATTCTTTTCTGTGCTCGTTCCAGCTTCTGTTTTATCTTTCATCCCGTCTTCATCTCAGCTGGTCTCTCCTCTCCTGAAGCCGTTCTTTTCTCTCCTGTCATTAGAAAAACAGACTGGCGATGAGAGAGCGTTCCTCTCTCCTCCGCTCTCTCATTGTCTCAGTCTCTGACTCTTCAAACGTCCTTGTTGAGGAGCACATTTTCTCCCCCTCTCTTCCTTCCTGCTCCTTCTCTCTCCCTCCCCCTCTCCCCCTCCCTCCCCCTCTCCCGTCTTCTCCGTCTTCTCGTACTTTCCACGCTTTGCTGCGGTTTAGTGAAGTTGGTCACAGACTTTTCTCGCGTGACCTTCATGGGCAGAGTGAGAGACACAGATAAGCAGCAGCTCAGCTGAAGAATTCAGCCACAGTGTCAGCAGTGTGAACACACACACACACACACACACACACACAGTCAGGAGCAGAGAGGATTAAAACAGGATGTGAGTTTTGTGCCTTTTTTGCAGCTTCTTTGTCCCTGATCTTAGAGGTCAGAGGTCAGGGGGCGTGGCCACGACAGCGGAAATGTTTGGAGGCACAAATCTGGATGTTGTGTTTCTAACGGAGTTAAAGTGTTGAACACGAACATGGCATGGAATTAATGACATAAAATAGCTGAATGTGCTCTAAATGGCAACCCTTTTCCTCATCAACCCTTCAATTAACTCGAAATAAAAATGTGAATTATCAGGAGAGCCCAAGTGAAATGAAATATTTCATGTTATATGTACAGTAATATACAGAAATATATACAGTAAATATTGTCACAAAAAACTGCACTGAAACTGAAACTTTTCAATATTAATCCATTCACTTTACTTTTCCTTGGTTCATTTATATTTCCTCCATTTTACCCCCAAAAAACACTAATAACAATATATGTTTTAATTCATTTTTATTCATAAACATTTTTAAGAATTTCATTGGTTTCGGTCCATATTTTTATATTTATATTTTTTGTTTTATTTTTGCAATTATTACCAATATATAAAGTCTCGTTCTTCTGGTTCATATTCTCGTCTTAATCTCAGTCTTTTTCACCTGCTGCTGCTGCTGTCGACACAGAAGTGTGAGGAGTGAAGTGTCGACACACTCACACACACACACACACTGGCAGATGTGTGTGTGAGAATAATGTGTCAGTGAGATGCTAATGAGGTGTAATTAGTCTAAAAGTGTTGAGTTAATGAAGCCGTCGCAGCGTTTGATGAAGGAAATGTGTGAAGCATTTTAAGGTTAAGAAATAGCACTCCTGGTGGAAGGGCAGGAAACTGCACTTTGGTGTTAAATCTTCTCTCTTTCGCCCTCATCCTAACTACAGTAGAAAAACAGAATTGTTTCTAAAACGTGTTTTTTTTTCTCTCTCTTTGCAGCACTGCCTCTGCAGACAGAGCCTCAGTGTTTGGACAAAGATGTCCTGACGTCAGACGACTCCGCTGTCACAGACCTCTCTCCCAAAACAGACTACAGCCCCAAAAGTGAGACCCCCCTCCAGACAGATGCCTCCTCCAAGACAGACGTCAGGCCCTCGACTCCGGGCGACAGCAGCTCCAGCCCACAGCCCAAAAAAGGTACGAGACGAGTGACGCCTCCCGGTGTTTGACACCAAAACTGTTCTTCAGTTCAGTTTTTATATCGAAGCCAAAAGCAGTACTTCATATATACTCCATGTATACTCCATATATACTGTTTCCTAATGGATATATTTGAAGTTGGTGGCCTTTATGTGACACGGTCCTGGTCCTTTGGTGGTTTCTGGATCGTCTGCTCTCTCACAGAAACCTATGAACAATAAATCCTGCGGCCCTGGATCACTGCTGCCTCTTCAGGTCTGGGCTCCTCGCCCGTCTTTAGTTTCCAGACAGTGATGTTGACGAAGACTTGGCAAAGATCAGGAATCGGCTTCAGGTCAAAATAGGCCCAGGATATTTGAGTTGTTCACTTGTTGTGTTTTATGCCCGATACCTCTGGGACGACGAGCCTCATGGAGAGACGATGGTTCTGGCTCATGATTCAGAAGTGAAGGTGAAACAAAGTGTCATGATGACATCACTGCACATATCAATGCTGATTTTAAAAAGAGTTTTTGCTGGGGGAAAAAAATCCCTTCATGGTTTAAAGCATTGTTTCCCAAAAACTGGGTCGTGACCCTGAGGAGGGTCGTCTCACATCATGTTTCCCAGGTTTCTGATTTTTAAAATAAGGGTTCCCAGAAAAAAAGTTTGGGAAACACAGGTTTAAAGAACTGCATTTGTTCTAGAAAATAGTTTTGTATTTTGTCACTTCAGTGCAAAACCATAGATTTTAGGCCCATTATGGGATATATTGATGTAAAAAATAACATGAATTTAATGTGTTATATTTGGATTTTCTTTATAAAATTATGAAGATGTTTGCTACAGATATTCTAAACGAATCCTGTGGTTGAATTTAACTGTTAATGACCAGATATTATCTTGGGATGTAGCTATGAAAAAGTCGTTTTCATTTTCGTACCGATCCTCGTTTATTAAATTTATTGACGATTTACCAGGGGAGTTTAAACATGAAAATCTGTCTGCTCTGGATCTAAATGGCTCTTTCTTTCTCTGCACAGTCAGCGTTTTCCCAGCGCTGCTGCACTAACCCCGTTCTTCAGATCCTTCATTTGCTGCTGAGGCTCTGCAGAGAGTCGGACTTTGATGAAAATATCTGGTGTCAAATGTGACAGTCAGACTTTTTTCAATCGTCAAATTGAAAAGATGAAAATATCTGGTGTCAAATGTGACACTTTTCAAAGAAATTGCAAAAAAAAAAAAAAGGGGAAAAGAATGAAGTCATTCCCAGCAGACAGTAAGTCACGGACTTGAGCCAAACTGGTGATGAGAGTACGGCGGTGCACAGGGTGTCGGTGTGAAGGTGGCTGTGAGTTCCTGCTGCATGAGGTAATGTCTTGGCCACAGAGGAACCTTCAGGCCCAGGAGATTTATGTCTGTGTGCACATCCACCAGAACGAGGCCGTGCAGCAGCTCTATCAAAGGTAGGCCGGTTGCCATGGAAGCACAAGTGCTGCACGGCTCTCTCTGATTGGCCGAGAGCACATGGTCTGCACAGACGCCCCGGGGGTCCAGCAGTTCCCCTCTTTCTTTAAGGATGCAGTGATTGAGCAACACTCTTCACTTCTCTGTTCACTTTGAAAATGACAAGGTTGGAAGAAGTGAGTTTTTTTATTTTCCTCAAGAAACTGATAATCTGGAGGCAGACGGATGATTACGAGTGGAAAAACAGTGTTACAGGAAGTTTGTCTGCGGTTGAATAGCGGTCTGAAGGCAGCCAATCAGAACACGGCTGAATCGAAGGAAGTCATTCTGAAACTAGAAAAATGTGTCGAACAGAGAGAGTCAGTCAGAACTCTAACTCCTGGGCTGACGTTGTAGTGATGAGTCA